TAAACTGGGGGAGTCGGACAATAAAACTTTGCGTCGCCAGAGGACTGGGGCGACGGCAGTGGGGACCGAGGAAGCTCCCTGGAGAAGGGCCCAGGCAGGCTTTGAAGAGTGGGCAGAGCGATAAGGAGAGTGAGGAGTGGGGTGGGAAATACCAAAAAAACCCCCAAAAAGCCACAGCATTCTTAAGGGACACTATAGCATGAGACCCTGGAGCTGGGCTGGGAGGCCTGTCCCCTGCTGTCTGCTGCCTTGCTTTCGTGAAGGCGTGTGGAGGCTGGGCCGAAGAGGCCTGAGCAGTGGCTCCTCTCTTTGGCCTGTGCAAGAGGACAACCTGCTGAGGGGTAAGAAACAAGCAGGACAGGCCCTGGTAGGGGGGGCTTCGGTCATTTGGATTTGGGGGCATGCAGGAAGGAGAGACTGGCAGGGCAGGGCACCTCTGTACCAGGGAAGAGGCTCTTTCAGTGCAGCTGGGAGTGAGCTGACCATGGACTCTGTTGTTGGCACAGGCGGATGGTCAGGAGGTGGGGAAGGGAGGGCAGGAGCTGAAGCCACTGCCAGAAACAAGCACGAGGCCGCCGCCCAGCAGCACAAGTGTGGCTGCAGAAGAGAGGTTCCCATCAGATTGCCAATCATTTGCCCCTGTGTGGTCCAAAAGGATGGCCATCATTTCCCAGACTCCCTTCTCTGCTCTCAAGGCCCGGAATGCCCATCCTCCCGGCCACGCCATGTCAACAGAGCATCCTGCCCCAGCATGAATTTTCCTCTCTCTCCATATGTGTGGGTCTTCTTCAGCAGGCTCTCTCTGCCTCATCCTCTCCATCTCCCCAGCCCTTTTTAACTTGCCCCTGGATTCTGGAATCTCTGACATCGAGATCAATCCACAAGCAGCGAGCACTTGCAGCTGCTGCCCTCTCTGGCCCAGGCTATCCCAGGCTCTGCTGCCCTCTCTGGCCCAGGCTATCCCAGGCTCTGCTGTCCTCTCTGGCCCAGGCTATCCCAGGCTCTGCTGCCCTCTCTGGCCCAGGCTATCCCAGGCTCTGCTGTCCTCTCTGGCCCAGGCTATCCCAGGCTCTGCTGCCCTCTCTGGCCCAGGCTATCCCAGGCTCTGCTGTCCTCTCTGGCCCAGGCTATCCCAGGCTCTGCTGTCCTCTCTGCTCCAGGCTATCCCAGGTTGGGTTCACCATTTCATTCTATTCCTCCCCCTCTCTGCCTGCTAGACTCATTTTTCAATACCAGCATTTTCATCCTGCAATTCTCTTGTTCATCTCAAGTCCTCAGATCCAATGTAGGACGTGAGGAGATACGGTAGAGCCTCTGAGACTGAATGCACGTGTTAGATGAATGGCTCTACGTCGCTGGGAGTGAGACTCAAATGGAATCTGGGTAGTTTTTCAACTAACATAGGAGAAAACACCAATCCCATCAAACGGTACAAGATTCTGATTGGTACCTACCCTGTGACAGTCAGAGGTCAGGAGGAAATGTAAAGGCATTCAAAGAAGATGGGGGTCACGATGAAATTTACCCATGTAATCTGACAACCGAAGGCCCAGGATGTGGCAGAAAAGCAAAGACAAAGTCTGTAACGCACATCACAAGTCATGAAATAAATGGACGACTTGGAACGGTTGGCGCAGCCTCTAAGGAAGTGAGTGGAAGATATTAGCAGAAGGGAACCGAGCAACGGCCTGCAGCTCTGACAGACTGGAAATTCTACAGGAAGGAAGAGAGCAGGAGAAGCTGCACTCCCTGGGGGGGTTCAACGAGCAATTCCACTGCGCACGGATAAGGAGCGGTAACATAGCTAGAATGGGCTTGTTTTCAATAACTAAAATCTCATTTTACTAATAGCCCTGAGATGTCCCCAAAGCTTTCTAGAACTTTCTTTTTTCCAGTTGCACCGCTTTTCTGGATGATGAGTTCCATATGGTACCCTGTCAGTCAGCTGCCATTTTCGCTACTCAGGATAAGACTCCCCTCTCTCGGCTCCCGACTGCCGACTGCCGCCTGCTCTCGGTTAAGATAAATGACTGCTCCCTCAAATACAGCGTTTTCTCAGCCATAAAGAGAGGAAATAGGCTAGGTTTGTTCTCCAAAGTGACAGACCCCAAAGTGGGAGGGGTCGTTGGGGCAGCTCTTAACACCCACATGATAGCATTTAATACCCTAGTGGCAGAAGGAAAGCACCAGATATTCCCTCTCAGGTACTCAATTTCAGGCAAAGGAACTGTGATGAACTGTGGCAATTAGCAAGGGAAAAATGAAAAGGAACTATTTAAAGAGCAAAAACCCCACAGGAAGCCTGGGAGAATACTGGAAAACAGGAAAAAAAAAAAAAGTGTTTTGCCAACAAAAAATCTAGGCCCACAACCAGATGCCACAGGCAGCTGAATGCAAAGCCACCATGAGCAGAGAGCCTGCTGGGAGAGAGGGTCTGGGAGCCAGAGGCCTCAGCTCCTCACAGACACCCAAGGGCCCCTCACAAACATCAAAAGCAGGAACTCAAGAACGAGTGAGCTGCAGAAGGATTGCATTAGGGATAGAGCAACGGCAGGACAGACAGAACCCCAGACACACGTGTTGCAAGCTAGTGACAGCCACCCACCCAGTCTGCCAATGACACACAGAGGAAAGGGAGAAGGGCTATTGACCACACTGTGCAAACCAGGCCTCTCCCACGGCCACCCAGTTGGCTTCCAGGAGCTGCAGGAACCGTGACCAGGAGAGATGCTTCTGTCCTTGTCAGAACTCGGGCAAAGCCCTGATCATAGGTAATGCCTGTGCTTCGAAAAGTAAGATTCTCCACCCATCAGAGGCACTGTCACTGCTGTTAGTGGCACACTATAGTTAAGCCCCCCGTTCCCTGTTTTCTGGTCCATACATTGTAAGACCTAAAGAACGTCTGCCCAACAATTTCTAGCAGGGATTCTGAGAATCTCTCAGGAACCTCTGGGCAAATTAGAAAAAGGTACCCTCCTGGGTGGAGCCAGGGCAGCTGGGCCCTGCACAGCCTGCTGTGTGGGGCTGGCTTGACCTGGAGAGCCATAGTTGTAGGCCTTGCCACAGGGAACACTGGGTACAAGCCCTGGAGAATTCCAGAAGGGAACTGGTTTTTAGTATTTATGACATGGTTGGTCATCTGGAATGTCTTTCACCATAACTGGTGAGGGCATGGGGAGAAGACAGAGGTGGCCAGTTCTTCACCCGGAGCAATGGATATGAAGAACCACTGCCATTGTGGTGGCTGCTGTTTCCAGCCGGCCGGAAGGAGTCCAGCATCTGTTGGAGGCGATCTCAGAAGTGACTGTCCTTGGAGCCCAATGGAATTGCTTCACGCTAGATAGTCTCCTTCTTTTCAAAAAAATAAGCTTTTTACTGAAGTAGAATAAGCACATAGAAAAATGCCATAAAGGTATAGACCAATGCATTCCACCAACTGAGTGGACCCGTGGAACCAGCATCGAGATCAGCAAATAGAATACGGTGGCCCCCCGGGCGCTCTGGGGTCTCTTTCTGGTGAGCTCTCTCCCCGAGAGTAACCGCTATCCTGAAATCTAGCCCCAGCGATTACTTTTGCCTGCTTCTTGAACTTTACATAAAAGATTGCAAATAGTGTCTAGTCTTTGGTATCTGACCTCTTTTGCTCAACAGTTCTGTTTTGGAGATGCATCCACGCTGTTGCATAGAATTGCATAACATTCCATTGCAGAAATATACCACAATTTATTTATCCATCATACTGTTGAAGGGCGTTGGGGCACCTGGACTTTCTTTTTAATTGACTTTTTTCTGATTACAAAGATAATTAAACAGTCATTAAAAAGATGTCCCCATTTTTCAATTTCGTGGAGCACTCCAGCCCTGGAGTCTTGTTGGGGCCTCAACATCCAGGCTTCACTTCCTTCCTTGACTGCTTAGACCCTGGCTCACCAATGTTCACCCCTTTGGGCTCTTGCCCATACATCTCAGCCTCCTTACAATCCCCAACCCAGGGACAGTCCTCGCTCTGTCTTTCAGCCTCAGACGCTCAGGCCTCTAAGTACCGCAGGAAAGCCGCTGTCCGGGACAGTGCGTGCCCTTGCACCTGCCCTTTCACTTGGCTGCGAAATCTCCAGACTTCTTGCAACAACTAGCCAAAGACTCTGAAAACGCTCTCAGTAGCTATTTTGCTGAGGAAAGGGAAGGCCTGGAGCCCAGCGGCCTTCACTGGCCTCCCCCCACCCACCCTGTGCCCATCGACTACTCGTGCCTCTCTCCCAAGGCTTCCCAGAGTGGGGGTCTCAGAGCCCTCCACCAGCACCCAGGACCCCTCTCCCCCCACTCCAAGACTTGACCCCTTCAGGCTTCTCCCTCAGAATCCAGAAACCCTCAGCCCCACACTCTCTAAGGACATCTTCCCCTTAGGCTGCTAATGGGTAGCCCATTCCTTCCTTGTTGGGGCCGTGGAGCGCCCCCACTACCTCCACCACAGCACAGCTCCAGCTGAGCTCACTACCAGCCTTCCTAAGCCCACAGGGCACAGCACGGGCCTTTACAATGTCACCTCTAGGCGGCATCTGACATTGTCCCCCGTGCTCTCTCTCGAGACTCTTCCCTTGACTTCTGGGACAGCGATTTTCCTTAATCTGTCTCTCCACCCCACCCCTGCCCTTTCATAATTCTCTTTCACTGGTTTTCTTCCTGTGCCTGCCCCTTAAGCGTCAACTTTCCCCAAAGCTCTGGGTTAATCTCTTTCTTTCCTGGACCCCTCCTCTCAGCAACACTGACTATGGAGACCCCCATCTCTACCAATCCGGGTCCCACCCTTTCCCCTAAGTTCAGGCTTCCTATCCAGCCATTCCATCTGGGGGTCCCAGAAGAGCCTCAGAATCTCAGGGCGATGCCTCTCGAATAAAAGTATATTCAAGTTTTACAGGGAGAAATCAAACCATCAGGTGTCTACACAATGTAGAGCTTAGCAAAGCCTTGGCAGGCGGGATGCAGAGCAAGCAGTCTAGGCCTCCTGAGCATCATGGTGCCTCGTCACGCGGTGGGGAGGTCTCCCCCCCGACCTGAGAGGTGCATCAGAATTTCAGGTGGAGCGTGAGATTTGTGTATTTACCAAAAGGAGACATGGCTTTGAGAAGTTGAGTAACCACACTGGAGAGAAGTCAGGGAGTGCCCATCAGGGTGCCAGCAGGAACAAAGACCCTTCCACGCGGGCAGCAAAGCTCAGCGATCCAACTACCTACAATGGCGAGATCTAGGACGTGCTGCAGAGAGAAATCGAAGACCTGGAAGCAGAAGGAGCAGGCAGTTATGAGACCCAGAGAGGGCAGCTGTGTAGAAAGGGCAGCCGGGCCAGAGTTGTGGCCTCCCACCGAGGGACACAGCCCGGGCTCACCCTCCCCATCTACATTCGCCTCCCCATCGCGGCTGGTGTCTCTCAACCCCACTGGAAGATGTCATGGCAGTCCATTCCGGTCAGCCCCCTGCACCCAGACCAGGGTGGAGCGGCCTCAGAGGGGGTTGGAATAGGGCTCTGGACAAGAATGTGAGAAAGAGCAGAAACAGGGTGACATGTCAGCTCCATCAGGACGTAGAATGAAGAGGGAAGACTGTCCATGACACTGCAATAGAGACCAGGGAGTAAAACTGGAAGGACCAGGTGACATTCCTGGAGCCTTCACACCTTCCGCTCATCCATCCTCCTTGCGTAGTGTCTGGAGTGCTTATCAAGCCCCGCACTGGAGAGGACCTGCGTGCTTGACCCAAGGCGGAGAACGCCAAGGCCCGGCGGAGGGGACGATCAGTCAGCCTGCCCTCCGCCTCCCTCTATGATCTGTCCTGTCTTCAAAAAGGGCCCCCCGAGCGAGGGAGCTGGGAGAGGCAGTTGGGAAAAGAGGAAATAGGCAGATCCCTGGGGGTTGGGCTTTAAGGAGGAAGCAATCCGAGACAGAAAGATGTATCAAACACTTGCACGGATAAGAGAAGTGGGTCACCAAAAGCAGAAACACACGCGTATGTTTCCCAGTAGAGAACTATTACCAGTCGGGGGGTCTGGGGAGCCACGCTGGGACCTGTCTTATTCCATGGGGAGATGGGGTACACAAAAGAGAATAATGACACCCAGCGGGTAAATTCCCAGCACAGGGGACGGGGACGCTGAGGTGGACAACTGTAACCCGGCGTGCGTGGGGGAAAGCATGGCCTCCTGTGTGGCCTGGAGATGAAGACCAGGATCTGGGCCCCCCCAGAGCACGTGAGGCCAGTGAAAGGGTAGGGTCACCAGCGGAAAGCAAAGTAGCCCGTCCTCTGACCCGACACACAGCAAGGTGCGTCTGCACGGGAGACCGACTCAGGGCCGTTCACTGATCTCGAGCAAGATGGTAAAGGCTTTTCCTAGTTCAGAGAAGGCTGCCAGGAAGCTCGAGGGTTCTAGAAAGAAGAGGGCTGCCCTGGGCTATACGTCAGGCCTTCGAGGCTGCAAGGAAATGTCAGCAGACATCACGAATCTGTTCAGGAAATCCTACGGTCTCAGGGCTGGGGCACCCCTTCGTGGCCGTAAGGACCCATTTAACCAAACGTAGTTTCTCTCAGGAGAGTTTTCTAAGTTGAAAATGAACTTGAAGCAGGGTTTAGATACATCCAGGGCATGAGAGAGCCCTGTAAAAGTGATGGGGTGGGGGGGGTGGCGCTGGGAGCCCGACTGAGGGCTCAGCCCCGGAGGGGCCCCGTCCTGCCCCTTGCCACAAGTCAGTCTCCAGTGCCTCTGCGCTGGGCAGGAGGCCTGGGCATGGCATTTCTTCCATTCCAGGCCACTGTGGAGTGTGCGTGGCATTGTCACTGTGAGCAGTTCCTGGGTGTATGAACAAAAGGTGAAGAGGTCTGGTCTCTAAGAAACCAGAGTGGTTTCCGGGCAGCCGTCAGCCTGATGGTCTCAGCAGACAGCAGAGCTCAGTCAGAGCTGAGCCCAAAGCTTGGTGGTGCGGGAGCAGCGGCGGTGGCCAGGCAGAAGCAGTGAGGGAGCCCCATCCTGCGCTTCCACATCTCCAGCTCACGTCCAGGCTCAAGGCCCCGAGGGGAAGCACCAGCGCTGGGGGAGGCCATTCTGAGAACCGTGAAGCCTTTCCCACCCAAGTGCTGCGGTCCCTCCCCGCCCGCCCCCCGCCACCCTCGCCCAGGCCGCAGTGTCCTCCTGCCCTGGGGCTCAGGCTCCTGCTCCTCGCTTCCAGCTGCCTTCCCTTCCCTCCCTGCCTATCTCAGCTGCCTTTGTTTTCTTTCTCCAGGAGCAGCAGGTGCTGAGAGGACGCCAGGAGAAGGAAGAGTGACCTGACCCAGGCTGCTGGGGGCACCGAGAAGGTCCCAGGCCTCGTGGGCATCCCAAAGACTGTGGGGGCAAAAGGAGGAAAAAGACATCCCAGGAATTCAGCTCCCCTCGGTTCCTCAAAGGCCTTCTGCCTCCAGCTCTTAAGGAAAGACCATTCCAGACTCAGAGGGGCCCTCCCCCGAGAGCAGAGGCTTCTTGGCCTCCAGGGGAAGCCGAAGGCCCCAGGTCATCCTGCCTGGAAGCTTTGTCTGGAATCTAAAAGAGGACAACTTGACTGTTACTGCCATGCCGATGGGCAGGTCATGCGTGCGTAGGGAGGACCCCATGCCCACTCTCCAAGAGACGGGGAAGGAAGACGAGGATGCCCAAGTCAAATGACAAGGTGAGTAATGTATGTAGAGAACGGGACAGATGAGAGCAGGTGACCCCAGAAACTGGGGCTCAATCTGGAAGGTGGCATAATTGGAGGGGGACAGGGTGTTCAGGGAGAAGGGCAGGCGCCCTTCCTGAGACCCCCAGGAGTGAACCCAGGATATGGAGTCATTGCCACCTACCCCCCTCCAGGCCCTTTCTGCACCACGGGCCCCACCACTGCCCCCAGACCTCTTCCTCCCCTGTGGCTTCAGGGTGGCCCAAAGGACAGAAAGAAGACATCAGAAGGACATTTGCTGGCTCATGGGAACCCCTAAGATATAGGAGAACTCAATGTGCCTGGTGGTTACCCCATCTTAGCCCTCTTTCCTTTGGGGTCCCATTTCCCTCTGTGTTTGACTGTCTTCCAGTCCTGCCGCCTCTGTGTACATGCCCCTCTTCTCTTGGGACTCTCTCTTGGCATCTCCTCCTGTTTTCCTCCACGTCTCTCTCCCCGCCCGCTGTATCTGGTCTTCTCAGCCCTCTCCAGCCCTTCTTGTTTCTCTCCACTTCCACACAATGGGTGAGGGCCAGAATCCAGAGCTGAAGTCACAGGGAGGAGCCTCATCGTCCCGGGGATGGGGAGCCCCATGGCGTCTGAGGAAAGACCTGCCTTTCCCCTTCCGGCAGCCCCGCCCCCCTCACCCTCGCCTTTCTGTGAGGCTGAGGTGTGGGGGAAGGCAGGAGGGCTGCGAGGAGGAAGCTGCCTGCCTTCACCCCATCCGCAGCCTGCCTTCCTGGAAGCTCCTCTTCCAGCTCTTCTAAAGCAGAGAAGCTGCTCTTCTTCCTATCCGTGGAGCCCTCAGCGCTCCCCTGGCTTCTTGGCTCGTCTTTGTTATTCTAAGTCCTTCCTGGGTGACACTTCCTCTTCCTCTTGGAGCCCCACAGCCCAGTCAGTATGATCCCCTTCTTCCCATCTTCATCCACTTGCAAGCCAGTGGACTCCCCCACTCACCTCCCCCCAGGCTCAGCAGAGGACCTGGCACATGGTAGGTGCTCAATAAATCTCTGTTGAATGAAGGGAAAACTTTGGCCTCAGACTCCAAGGTGTTATCTTTGCCCCAATACCGCGCCCACCTAGACAATTTTAACAACTCCCAAGAAGCCTCGTCTCCACTCCTCTCCACTTCTGCAGCCCACCCCACAGCCAAACCTTGAACCCAGACATCTCCCAGGAGGCCCCATCTTGGCCCCCCACAATTCCCTTCTCTTGAAAGGCTTCCATGGCTGCTCATCCCAACTTGCAGGTCTCCAGTATCACGTTTCCCGCCTCATGGTTGACCCATTTAAAGCCCTCGGTTTCCCTCCTCTCTGCTGGGCTTGCCTTGCCCGCTCCCCAGCCTGGGAACAATGTGACCTTTCATTTTCTCTAGTCTTGCACCTGAGCTCTGCTAAGACAAACACGCAGCTGGTTTGTTCCCCAAGAAAGGTGTGAGTAACAACTCAGCTCGGCCCTCCTCTGCTGCCAGCTAGCAATCAGTTTACTAACCCTTTTTTCCATCCCCAGAGTTGACCCTTGCCCCCAAACCATTGTCCCCATTCCTCACCCACTCACTTTCCCTGACATATCCACTCTTAGTGCATAACCCCAGGCCATCAACTCTGACCTCCCCCCTGGCCCTCCCATCTCATCATATCTGCCTGTACACCCTCCTGCCCAACGCGCTCCTCACCCTTTTTAGGATAATTCCTCCATTTGGGCTTTGGGTCCCACCTGCCCTTCTACACACCCCGGGCTGGCCCTCCAGCCAAGTGTCCCTCCCCTCAGCAACCTGTGAAATTACTTCTGATCTCGCCTCCTTCCCCTAAGCCTGTCAGTGTGCCGACAACTCCCACTGGATATAAAACTTCCCTCCATCACACCTCTTCCTTAAGCTGGCGTCCACTTTCAAAAATGCCGTTCACCAGAAAACTGCTGGAAGGATCTTCCCAGTCTGTAGATGGCTTGTCCATCCCTCCTGCCCACTCCACCCAGTGCCCTTGGCCTCTGCTCCCCACCCCCTGCTAAGGAATCTGAGCTCCCAGAGGGCAAGATGCCCCCTCCATTCTGTATCATACAACCTTTCTTTTTCCTTTTTATTGCAGAAAAAATGCATGCTCATTCAAACCATACCACAGAGAGAGTCAAGTCGTGGGAGCATTCTCTTACCCTATGCTCAATCCCATTCTCCTGAGGAAGGAGCATTCAAGGGGGGCCGTGTACGTATCCTTCCAGGCTTTTCTCCAGGTACAAACATGTATGTAGTTTTATGCACACAAATAGAACTGCTTTTAAAAGATAAATGGGATCCTAGCACACACATTGTTGTGTAGCTTGCTTTATTTCAGTGAACGCATCGAGAGTTCCCCATCAGTGCTTGCCCCATCACAC